ATTGCTTTAGCTATTCTAGGTCTCTTATTTTTCCAGATGAATTTCATGGCTGCTTTTTCTATTTCTGTGAGGAATGCCATTTGGATTTTGATTGAAATTGCATTAAATCTGTATAGTGCTTTGGTAGTTTGGTCATTTTGATAATGTTAATTCTTCCTATCTAAGAATAAGGTAGATCTTTCCATCTTCTAAGGTCTTCTTGAATTTCTTTCTTTATCATTTGGTAGTTTTTGTTGTAGAGGTCTTTACCTCTTTTGTTAGGTTGATACTCAAGTATTTTATTTTTTTTGAGGCTATTATAAATGAAGTAGTTTTCCTGGTTTCCCTTTCAGAGGATATGTCACTGATATACAGAAATCCTTTGATTTATAGGTGTTGATTTTGTATCCTGCTACTTTGCTCAATTCACTTACTAGTTCCAGAAGTTTTCTGGTAGAATTTTTTGTGTCTTCTAGATATAGAATCATATCATTGGCAAATAGTGCTAATTTGAGTTTTTCATTACCTATCTGTATCATTTAATTTCTTTATAATTGATCTGGCCAGTGTTTCAAGAACTATGTTAATTAGAAGTGGTGAAAGAGGGCATCTCTGTCTTTTTCCAGTTTTTAGAGGGAATGCTTTCATTTTTTTTTCCATAAAGAATGATGTTGGCTTTGGCTTAGCATAGGTAGCTTTTACAATGTTGAGATATGTTCCTATTTTCCGTAGTTTTTCTAGTGTTTTGAACATGAAGGGGGTGCTGTATTTTGTTGAATGCTTTTTCTGCATCTATTGAGATGATCATATGCTTCTTTGTCTATTAATGTGATGAATTATGTGTATTAATTTCCATATGTTGAATTAGCCTGGCATCCCTGGGATGAACCCCATTTGATTGTGGTGCACTATCTTTATAATACGTTTTGTATGCAGTTTGCCAGAATTTTATGAGAATTTTTGCATCTATGTTCATTAGAGATATTGATCTGAAGTTTTCTTTCTTTGATGTGTCTTTACCTGGTTTTGGAATCAGGGTGATATTGGTCTCATAGAATGAGTTTGGAAGTGGCCCCTCTTTTTCTATTTCCTGAAATAAATTGAAGAATATTGGTGTTACTTCTTCTTTAAAGGTCTTCTAGAACTCAGCTGTGTATCTATCCAGTCCTGGCTTTTCTTGGTTGATAGGTTTCTATGGCATCTTCTATTTCATCACTGGAAATTTATCTGTTTTAATTGTATATATCATCGTGATTCAATTTGGGCAAATCATATGACTCTAGAAATTTGTTGATGCCTTCAATAGTTTCTATTTTATTGGAGTATAAGTTTTCAAAATAATTTCTAATTATCTTCTGTATATTTGTAGTGTCTGTTTTGATATTTTTTTCCTATCACATATGTAAGTAATTTGAGTTTTCTCTCTCCTTCTCTTTGTTAGCATGGCTAAGGGTGTATCAATTTTCTTTACTTTATCAAAGAATCAACTTTTTGTTTAGTCATTTTTTTCAACTGTTTCAATTTCATTAATTTCTTATTTTAATTATTTCCTGTTTTCTACTGCTTTTGGTGTTGATTTATTCTTTTTCTAGGGCTTTGAGATGTAATGTTAGGTCATTTATTTGTTGACTTTTTCTTCTTCTAAGGAATGAACTCCATGCAATGAACTTTTCTCAGTACTGCCTTCATAGTGTCTCAGAGATTTTGATATGTTGTATCAGTGTTGTCATTTACCTCTAAGAATTTTTTAATCTCCTCCTTGATGTCTTTTGCAGTCCATTGTTCATTCAGTAGCATATTATTTAGTCTCCAGGTATTGGAGTACTTTTATTTTCTATTTTATCATTGATTTCTAATTTCATTCAATTATGAACTGATAGAATACAGGGTAGTATCTCTACTTTTTTATATTTGCTAAGAGTTGCTTTGTGGCATAATATTATGGACTGTTTTAGAAAAGGATCCATGTGCTTCTGAGAAGAAAGTGAATTTGCTTATTGAAAGATGAAATATTCTATATATGTCAGTTAAGTCTAAGTTATTGATTGTATTATTGAGTCCTAGTTTCTTTGTTCAGCTTTTGTTTGGGCGATCTATCCAGTGGTGAAAAATGTGTGTTAAAGTCACTCAGAATTATTGTGTTGTGGTCTATTTGACTCTTGAACTTGAGAAGACTTTGTTTGATGAATGTAGATGCTCCATTGTTTGGGGCATATATATTCACTATTGTTATGTCTTGTTGATGTATTGTTCCCTTAAGCGGTATAAAATATCCTTCTTCATCCCTTTTGATTAACTTTAGCTTGAAGTCTATTTGATAGTAGAATGGAAACCTCTGCTTGCTTCTGCAGTCCATGGGAGTGGTATGATTTTTCATACCACTTTCACTACAGTCTGTGGATGTCTTTTCCTAAGAGATAAGTCTCTTGAAGGCAGCATACTGTTGGGTCTTTTTTTTTTCTTAATTCAATCTTCTAGTCTATGTCTTTTGATTGGTGAGTTTAAACCATTAACATTCAGGGTTATTATTGAACATGATTTGTATTCCCAGTCATTTTTGTTTATTTTTGATGTTAACTTTATTTGGTTTCTCCTTTGATTAGACTTTCCTTTAGTGTGATACCTTCCTTTGCTGATTTTCATTGTTGTTTTTCAAATCCTCTTCATGGAATAATTTGCCGAGGATGTTCTGTAGTGCAGGCTTTCTAGATGTAAATTCTTTTAAAATTTTGTTTATCTGGAAGGTTTTTATTTCATCATGAAATCTAAAGCTTAATTTTGATGAATATAAGATTCTTGGTTGGCATTCATTTTCTTTCAGAGCTTGGTATATGCTGTTTCATGATCTCTTGGCTTTGAGGTTCTGGGTTGAAAAATCTGCTGAAATATGAATTGGTCTCCCCCATATGTAATCTGATTCCTCTCTCGTGGCCTTTATGATCCTATCCTTATTCTGTATGCTAGGCATTTTCATTATAATGTGCCTTGGGGTAGATCTGTTGTACTTATATACATCTGGTGTCCTGTAAGCCTTTTATATTTGATTTTCAAATTCATTCTTCATGTTTGGGAAATTTTCGGATATTGTCTCATTGAAGAGATTGTGTATTCCTTTGGTTTGTAACTCTGTGGCTTCTTCTATCCCAATAACTCTTAGATTTGGTCTTTTGATGCTATCCCATACTTCTTGAATGCTCTCCTCATGGTTCCTTACCATCTTCACTGTGTGGTCAACTTTATTTTGCAGATTATATACTTTGTCTTCATTATCAAATGTTCTGTCTTCCATGTGATCTAGTCTGTTGGTGATGCTTTCTATTGAGTTTTTAAAATTTGGTTTATTATTTCCTTCATTTTAAGGATTTCTGATTTTTTTCAGAATATATCTCTTTCTTTAATTTTCTTCTTTATTATTATTTTTATTTATATATGACAGTGGAATGCATTACAATTCTTATTCCACATACAGAGCATGATTTTTCATAACTCTGATTGTATACAAAGTATATTCAATTCATGTCTTTATACATGTACTTTGGATAATAATGTCCATCACATCAGGCCCTTGTACATTCGAGGCAAGCATTCTACCAAGTGAGCTATACCCCTATCTCTTTCTTGATGTAATCTTTTGCTACCTGTATTTGTTCCCTTATCTCTTTGTTGGTGTGATCAATACATGCCTATATTCGCTCCCTTATCTGTTTATTGGTGTCATCAATGATTGCCTATATTTGCTCTTTTATCTCTTTGTTGAAGTGATCAATTTTTGCCTGTATTTGCTCATTTAGGTCATTGTTTAATTTACAAATTATTTTAATTATGAACATTCTGAGCTCCTTCTCTGACACTTCATCAATTGCACTGTTCATGGGTTCTGTTGTTGTAGTATCCTGGTTTGTTTGGGGCACTTTCATCCCTTGTTTTTTTCATTTTGTCGATGTGATTTCCTTTCTTGTAGTGTGGATCTGAGGTATTACAGTTTCTACCCTATAATGTTGTAGTATCTGTGCAGGTTATGTGTACCTCACCTTGGTGTTGGGCTTCCAGACCCTGCCGGTGTCCAGGATGGATGCTACTGCAACTATAGGAGGTGGCAGCAATAGCAGGAGATAAGTCAAGATAGCAATGGAGGTGCCCCAAGATGGATGCAACGTCTTTAGGAGATGGGACTGAAAGCGTGGGCCTTACACTGTCTTTGGGATGCCTCCTCCAAGATGCAGCTGCTTCTAGGCCCTGTCTGTTGTCTGAAGGTAGAGGCTACTGCATGGGGGAGATTATGGGGATGGCTGCAGTGTCTCAAGATGGAAGTGGGTTAGACCTGGGCTCCCAGGTGGTGGGGAAGGGGGGCAGACACAAGCTTATCCTGACCTGGTTCCTGTGCAGGTCAGCCAGGGGGGTCTGGGCTAGGCCTGAATTCTAGTGGGTGTCTGTCCGTGGCTGGATGGACCCAGGCCTACCCTGGGTGCTGGCTCCCTCATAGGTCAGTGAGGCGGGTCTGGGCAGAGCCTGACTCCAGCAGGTGTCTGCCAGTGGGCGGAGGCCGTCCTAGACCCAGCCCGAAATCTAGTGGGTGTCTGCCAGTGATGGGATGGACTCGAACCTATCTTGGGCCCCAAGCTCCCGCACAGGTCAGCGAGGCAGATCTGGCTGAACTTAGACTTTTAAAAATGTTTTTACTGGTGCCATTATAATTATACATCAAGACTGGGACTCTTTGTGACATATTTTTACATGCACACAACATAATCTGCTCAATTTTCTTTCCCTGGTGCTTCTCCTTTCTCTCCCTTATCCCCTCCCCAGATTCCCTTTCCTTTACGATGAGCTTAAATTTTTACTACACAATTGCTTTTCATTTCAGAAATAATTAAAGTAATTAAAGAACTATATTACATTGTAGGAATGTCTCATTTGCATTCTCTAAAGTTATCCAGACTCACCTAAAACTTGCTGCTTCTTCTTTTTTTTTTTTTCTATCTAGATTTACTGCTGAGCTACATAAGGTCTCTTCAGACAAGAACAGCCTCATGGGCCAGGAATTAAGTGCTGGGAGAGACTCATCTTTTGTGTTGGAGGACGATGGAGGTGACCATTTGGTTTACATTCCAAGTAAAATATTAGAGCCACAAAAATTAGTGGTTAACTATGAAAAAGATCAGGTATCTGCAGAACCTACAAGTTTTACTTCTGGTAAGGAAATTTTAAAAGTTGGGAAATTTTAAATGCCCTGAATCCTCATATTTTAGTACTAGTAGAGAATCAAATCAATTAAGGCTGGTATCTAAAGCAACTATTTTTTTCAAATTCAAGATGGTGACTATAACGTCTGTGTTCATTAAAATTGAAGTAAATGATGACAGGCACCACTAGGAAGATTGTTGATAAAAGTACTCAGTAATGTCCTTGGTTTTTTCAGCAACTTAAGATTTCTCTAGAAGCTATGATCTAGAAGGTTGCTACAATATAGAAGGAGGCAATGTAGAGAATATCAGAACAAAGGAAGGGTTAAAATGACTTTTTAAAAGTTAACCTGACTAGTCTCTCAGAATTTGTGATTACATGAGAAAGTACAAGTTTAAATTTTGATATACCCAAAATGATGAAGAAAAAACTCTACCACTCCTTACTCTCTACATTTTGTTGGGAAAGCAGTGACTGTTGTCAGAATTTAATAGTTTCAAATAAATCTGATATATAAGATTATGTCTCTATTGTTGTTAAAAGTGTAAAAATCCAAACAGATTATTCAGCCACTCAACCTATGCATCTGGAATTGCTCAATGATTTTTTCATTCTCATATGGAGATATAGCATAAACAAAAGAATTCAGTGTTTGTTCTTTGTCATGAATGTTGTTAATTTTGGCTGTTTATTTTAATGATAAGGAAATTATAATACCCTTCCAGGCACAGGTATTTATGATGGTTTGGTCTATAAAGAAGAATGAAAGGCGTTCTGACAGTGTTAGGATAGCAAATTGTTATTTGTGATAGCTTCGTTAGAGGCAAGCATTCAAGCATATGAATTGTTTCAGGAAAGATACATATGACTGGTGGAGGCAGATAACTCCTCTTTGAAGCCGTCATTATGTGTCATTGTTCAGTAGTAAATGAAAAGCTTTTCAATCAGTTTTCCAGATGTCTGAGAATCAAAACATTTGTAGCCAGTGTAAGGTCCAATTCTGGTGAAGAAATAATTGTCCATGGCTCTGACAAGGGGAAAAAAGTGTAAATCTACCCTACCCAACTTCTCCTGCAATGGGTTTTGAAGTATGCTGGGAGTTCCCTGGAAGATTACGTCAGGTTGGGATGGCCTGGAAACAGAATGTCTCAGACCTAAGGATAATGTGTTTATTTTTATCCTTCAAAATAAATCTGAATCTTAAATCGTGTTTTCTAGGGATTTTGTGCTTTCTTTTTCTTTCTTTTAAAATTATGTTTGGCCAGTTATCAAAAACTGTTGAGAATTTTCTGCATAGTGTGTTAATCCTTTTGGAGAGTAAACTGTTGTTCAGATACTCTTTTTAGTTAATGAGAGATGAGCTTTGATAAGTTCCAGATGTATTGCACAAATAAAAGATTGATAACTTTCATAAGCACTTCCATATGCTCTCTTTATTACTCATTTATAATATAATTCTTATAAGGTGATGGTTGATCTTTTTGCTTTTGAATGGAGAGAGTCTCGGGGAGAGTCAGCAATCTTAGCCATTGAAGAAATTTAGAGTTCCCAGCATCCTGTGGGCTGGTGGTTAGTTGTGTAGACCCCCTTTCACCAGAAATTCAGTCACGGACTCTCTCCCTACCTCTGCTTTTCCTGCTTCCTCCCACCTGCTCTGATTTGCTTTGAGTTCATCTTCAATTCCATCACCTTATCAGGCCCTCTCCATTCCTTGGAGAATCCCAAGGGCAACCTGAATAGAATAATCTAGAAGTTCATCATAAACAGATTTCTAATCCCACCTTCTTACTTAGGAGTGTGAATAGGAAGGAGAAAGCTACAAGTTCTATAGCCACCATAGGTGATTTTCGTATACCCTCAGCTTTGTCCTCAGCTCTGTCTGTGGTTCTCAAAGTGTGGTCCCTACCCTGGCAGTTGTGGTATCACCTGGGAACCCACTAGAAAGGCACAGTCTTAACACTCATCTCAGACCTACTGCATCAGAAATTCTGTGCATGGGGCTCAGCAATGTTTTACCAGTATTGCAAGTGATTCTGATGTAAGCTAAAGAACCACTCATGTCCTATCACTTTGATGTGCCAAATTTGGTTTGTGTTTTCAATGAAACTGAAAGCAACTGGGTATCTAGTATCACAGGAAAGAAGTGAGAATTCGTATTTCCAAAGGATTCCTGTTAAACAAGGTTACAATTTTATTTTACTCATCCAAGAACATCTATGCAATATCTATATATCAAAAACTTTTAAGATCCACTAGAGAGATTATCTTAGAGATTCTAGCAGGCATTTTGACCATGATATCTGTAATATAAAAATACCTTGCAAAATTCAGCTCCATCCAATTACTTAACCAATGGAATGGACTTTGTTCTTTGGAAATATGTAAAAAGAATGGATAGTTTAATTATTTTTAAAAATTTTTAAATTTGTTTTAATTAGTTATACATGACAGTACAATGATCTTGACATATCATACATTTGAATCAGATGGGGTATAATTTCTCATTTTTTCTGAGTGTACAGGTTGCAGAATCATGGATAGTTTAATTCTAAATAAATTGCAACTCTTGACCCAGTGATGAGGCTGGCACATTCATCAAAGATACTACATTAACCAATGTTTAAGATACCGTGAGTCTATTTGTAAGATTAAAGGGCAGGATAATGTTTAGTAAAAAATGTTAAATACCAACCCAAACTCAGCCTAAATTTTGTTCCTAGCTTTTAGCAGTCCAGATCTTAGGATATCTTCAACTGATGTTCTTTTCTATAAATTCATTAAGAAATGAAAAGCAACATGTCTCCATTCAGACTAGGCTGGAGTTGCACTCAAGAATTTAGAAGGGGACTGTGGATGGGGCTTAGTGATACAGCATTTGCCTAGTGTGCTCATGGCCCCAGAATTGATACCCAGTACCACAAACGAAAACCAAACCCCAAACAAACCTTGAGGGGATTTGCATGGGTTTTGCTTTCTTTCTTTCTTTTTCTACTTTAAGCTTATTCTGAACTATAGGTAAACTTTTTTTTTAATCAATACTTTTTCTGATTTTGAATCAATCAATTTAGATAATAGATCTGGAAGGGTATTTAGTAATCTTCTGGTACAAACTCACCTGGGAACAATTCTACGTTCTCTCACCCCAGGAGGCATATTGTAATGTCTGGAAACATTTTTAATTGTCATAATTGGAAGGTGCAACTTGCATCTAGTAGGTGGAAGCCTCAGATGCTGCTTAATGTCTCATCATTCCAAGGACAGTCCTCACAACAAACAATTACCAGGCCAAACTATCAATAGTGGAAGAATCCTGGTTTACGAGAAAGCTCATGCCTGCAAGGTCAAGGGACAGATTGCACTATACAGGCACAGCACCTCTCTGTCCACTGTTCCCTAGTGATACCACCAGGACCTTGCCAATGCTTTTTAAAAAAATTATAAAGTAACATCAAGCCATACAAAATTTGAATACAAAGTCTCAAGCGATTTAGCCTATTGAGCTGTTTGTAGTGTGGAATATGTTCTTTGGCTTTCCACAGGCATATTGTTTTTTCATAGTTTGATTCAATTGCATATCTTGCTTTTCACATAATATGTCATAACATTTTCCATATTGCTGTAAACCTCATACTGACTTTTCTAAATGTCCTCATGATGTTCCTTTGAATGAATGAATATACTTAACCATTTACTCTTTTTGAACACATAGTTTGCTTCCAATTTTTGCTGTCATATATTAAACTTGAATATATATATCTTTACTCCAGCTAAATTTAAATCTGAATTGGAATTAAGCAACTGCAAAATTGCCTTCTGAGGCATCCATAAAATATTAACTGATGCTCTACTTTCATATCAGTTTGTTTTTACCTATTTTTTGTTTTTGTTTTTTTTGTTTGTTTTTACCTATTTTTCTTAGTTGTCAACGGACCTTTATTTTTTGTTTATATGTGGTGCTAAGAATCAAACCCAGGGCCTCACACAAGCTAGGCAAGCGATCTACCACTGAGCCACAACCTCAGCCCCCATATCAGTCCACTTTCTAAAGAAGAAATCATTAGAAGATTTGTGGTCATATTTGAATTTTAATGACATATTTCATAAAGTCTTTAAGAAATTTCAACCATCTTGGTGCTCTTTGATAAATAAATTGAGTCTCCTCTTCATTTTCAACCGTACATCGAAGTTGTTGCGTTTACTTCTTCTTGGGAATTTAATGTAAATGTCATCATTTTCATTATTATCGTTTTAGTTGTCTTTAGAAAGTTTCACATGTGGACGAGACTATTGTAAACAGAGAGTTCAGAGTATGTGGACTATCGGAATTCAAATGTGTGCTTTTGAATGTTGCTTCTCTATAACTTGTGCAACCATTTGTTGCAACTAATAAAACAATGTTTTATAGAATTGGTGACATTTTTTAATGTAGTTTCCTTTTTAATGGAATAAGAGTTGGAAATCTGAAGTAGTAATTAGATGGCCATGGTACTGGTGGTAATAAAAATACCAGTGCAGGTCACGGTAGTAGTGAAGTCACTGGTGATAAAGATGTTTGCTGTTAATGGTGGGTGGTGATGATAGTACTGCTGGTGGAGATGTCAGTGATGGAGATAGAAGGGTGAGAGTTGTGTGGTGGTGATGTTGGTAGTGAGAGGGTGATAGTGATGGCAGTGGTGTGCAGGTGGTTATGGTGAAGAGGGTACAGGTATGAAGGAGGGTGATAATGATGGTGGTAGTGGTGGTGATGGTTAGTTGTGATGGACGTGGTAGCCCTCAACAAAGTCTTACTATAAGAAAGGACTCTGCATGAATTTTCCCATGATCATCCAGACATTCTTTCATGTGACAAATGTATATTTAACTCTCATTCTGAGCTAAAGCCTGAGCTGGACTCTTTCGAAGAGTTAGATTAAAACCAAACAATGGAGACATAGATCCTGTCTTAAAGAAGCTCACAGTCTGACAGCTGTGCAGGAAAAGTGCCTAATAGGAGTCAGAAAGTATTCAGT